AGGGGCATTTGATGAGCAACACATTTTATGCATTAAAAGGTATTAAATGACACATCGTTTCAAAACTTTCTTTTAAAAAAAAACAATTCCAGTTTTTCTTTCTTTTTTGAGAAAAAAATATTTAAGAAGCCATGATCGCGTTGATAATATACTAAATTCAATGCCCTTAAAATTGTTGTACATAGCTGATTAATTTGAACACATTTTCTTTAGAAGGAAAAGAAAACAAACAAATATATCATACATTACCGTGTAATTTTATATTGTTGTTCCATTTTGTTAACTCTTAAAATATCACAAATATAACTAATTCAATATTAAATACTAATACAATTTAACATCCTGACCCATCGATAGCCATATTTAAAATGAAATGACTTCCGAATGAATCTTACACGATTCTTGCACGAAAGTCACACGTTTCTCACACGGTTCTTACACGAAAGTCGCACGTTTCTCACACGCTTCTCGCACGCTCGCTACACGATTTGCACGAAACGCTTTGAAGCTTACACGAAACGCTACACGGTTTACACGAAACGCTACACGGTTGCACGAAACGCTGCACGGTTTACACGAAACGCTACACGGTTTGCACGAAACGAAAGGCGCACGAAAGTCACACGCTTTTTTAGGGTAGTAGTACGTCTCAGGGTCTGTATACAAATACATTTATACTTTAACTTATTATAACATTACGAAAGCAGTTATACCTTGACTTAAAACAGTAGTATATAATATTGCAGGATACATTGTTTCTGATTAGATCATAATATATCGTGTGTAAAAAAAAACTCCTTGTAATACAATGTATACATAAAGTAAAAAAAAAAAATCAATGTCAAATTAAAAAAAATTATTCAAATGTAATTTTATGCACTTTAAAGAGAAAAAGCACTGCATATTAGAAATTTAATTTAGTATCAAATCTCTCTATTCAATCTTACATTGGAAGATAAATTCTGTGTCGGATTTGTTAGTGTGCCGGATAGTACATATTGTATTCTTTAAAGCAAGTAAAAAAACCCCTTAATTGGGAATTTCAATAAGGGTCCGAATTAACAGTAGAACAGATTGCATAGGTATCAAATTAAATATTCGTATCAAGACAGGAACGAATTTTTGCCTCATACTTCAGTTTCTAAAAGGTATTCTTAATCCTTTATTTTCAGTTTTGTAAATAAACGTAGTGTTTATTTGTAGATGACCTGGTTTTTTGTTTTGTAGGGCAATTGTAGATGACCTTGGGTTTGTGTTTTGTATGGTATTTGTAAATAACTTGGTTTTGTGTTTTGTAGGGTATTTGTAGATGACCTGGTTTTTTGTTTTTAGTGTGTTTGTAGATGACCTGGTTTTGTGTATTGTAGGGTATTTGTAGATGACCTGGTTTTGTGTTTTATAGGGTATTTGTAGATGACCTGGTTTTGTGTTTTGTAGGGTACTTGTAGAGGGCCTAGTTTTGTGTTTTGTAGGGTATTTGTAGATGATCTGGTTTTGTAGGGTATTTGTAGATGACCTGGTTTTGAGTTTTGGGGGGTGTTTGTAGATAACTTGGTTTTGTGTTTTGTAGGGTATTTGTAGATAACTTGGTTTTGTGTTTTGTAGGGTATTTGTAGATGACCTGGTTTTGTGTTTTGTAGGGTATTTGTAGATAACTTGGTTTTGTGTTTTGTATATAGGGAGTTTGCAGATGACCTGGGTTTGTGTTTTGTAGGGTATTTGTAGAGGACTGGAATTTGTGTTTTGTATGGTATTTGAAGATGACCTGGTTTTGTGTTTTGTAGGATATTTGTAGATAACTTGGTGTTGTGTTTTTGTATGGTATTTGTAGATTACCTTGGGTTTGTGTTTTTAGTGTGTTTGTAGATGACCTGGGCTTGTGTATTATAGGGTATTTGTAGATGACCTGGGTTTGTGTTTTGTAGGTTATTTGTAGAGGACATGGTTTTGTGTTTTGTAGGATGTTTGTAGATGACCTGGGCTTGTGTATTGTAAGTTATTTGTAGATGACCTGGGTTTGTGTTTTGTAGGGTATTTGTAGATGACCTGGGCTTGTGTATTGTAGAGTATTTGTAGAGGACATGGTTTTATGTTTTGTAGGATATTTGTAGATAACTTGACTTTGTGTTTTGTAGGGTGTTTGTACATGTATATGACCTGGTTTTTGTTTTGTAGGGTACTTGTAGAGTACCAGGTTTTGTGTTTTGTAGGGTATTTGTAGATGACCTGGTTTTTTTGTTTTAGTGTGTTTGTAGATGACCTGGTTTTGCGTTTTGTAGGGTACCTGTAGAGGACTGGGTTTTGTGTTTTGTAGGGTACTTGTAGAGGACCGGGTTTTGTGTTTTGTAGGGTATTTGTAGATGACCTTGGTTTGTGTTTTGTAGGGTATTTGTAGATGACCTGGGTTTGTGTTTTGTAGGGTATTTGTAGATGACCTGGGTTTGTGTTTTGTAGGATGTTTGTAGATGACCTGGGTTTGTGTTTTGTAGGATGTTTGTAGATGACCTGGGTTTGTGTTTTGTAGGATGTTTGTAGATGACCTGGGTTTGTGTTTTGTAGGGTATTTGTAGATGAACTGGGTTTGTGTTTTGAGTGTGTTTGTAGATGATCCTGGGCTTGTGTATTGTAGGGTATTTGTAGATTACCTGGGCTTCTGTATTGTAGGGTATTTGTAGATGACCTGGTTTTGTGTTTTGTAGGATGTTTGTAGATGACCTGGGTTTGTGTATTATAGGGTATTTGTAGATTACCTGGTTTTGTGTTTTGTAGGGTATTTGTAGAGTACATGGTTTTATGTTCTGTAGGATATTTGTAGATAACTTGACTCTGTGTTTTGTAGGGTGTTTGTATATGACCTGGTTTTTGTTTTGTAGGGTACTTGTAGAGTACCAGGTTTTGTGTTTTGTAGGGTATTTGTAGATGACCTGGTTTTTTGTTTTTAGTGTGTTTGTAGATGACCTGGTTTTGCGTTTTGTAGGGTACTTGTAGAGGACCGGGTTTTGTGTTTTGTAGGGTATTTGTAGGAAGTTTGTAGATGACCTGGTTTTGTGTTTTGTAGGGTATTTGTAGATGACCTGGTTTTGTGTTTTGTAGGGCAATTGTAGATGACCTTGGGTTTGTGTTTTGTATGGTATTTGTAGATTACCTGGGTTTGTGTTTTGTAGGGTATTTGTAGAGGACATGGTTTTATGTTTTGTAGGATATTTGTAGATAACTTGACTTTGTGGTTTGTAGGGTGTTTGTATATGACCTGGTGTTTGTTTTGTAGGGTTCTTGTAGAGTACCAGGTTTTGTGTTTTGTAGGTTATTTGTAGATGACCTGGTTTTTTTGTTTTTAGTGTGTTTGTAGATGACCTGGTTTTGCGTTTTGTAGGGTACTTGTAGATGACCTGGTTTTGTGCTTTGTAGGGTATTTGTAGGAAGTTTGTAGATGACCTGGTTTTGTGTTTTGTAGGGTATTTGTAGATGACCTGGGTTTGTGTTTTGTAGGGTATTTGTAGAGGACCGGGTTTTGTGTTTTGTAGGATGTTTGTAGATGACCTGGGTTTGTGTTTTGTAGGGTATTTGTAGATGAACTTGGTTTGTGTTTTTAGTGTGTTTGTAGATGACCTGGACTTGTGTATTGTAGGGTATTTGTAGATTACCTGGGTTTGTGTTTTGTAGGGTATTTGTAGAGGACATGGTTTTTGTGTTTTGTAGGATGTTTGTAGATGACCTGGGTTCGTGTTTTGTAGGTTATTTGTAGAGGACCTGGTTTTGTGTTTTGTAGGGTATTTGTAGATGAATTGGGTTTGTGTTTTGTCGGGTACTTGTAGATTACCTTGGGTTTGTGTTTTGTAGGGTATTTGTAGAGGACATGGTTTTGTGTTTTGTAGGATGTTTGAAGATGACCTAGGTTAGTGTTTTGTAGGGTATTTGTAGATGAACTGGGTTTGTTTTGTAGGGTATTTGTAGAGAACATGGTTTTGTGTTTTGTAGGGTATTTGTAGAGGACCTGGGATACAGGATCAGGATCTGTCCCTTCCCGAGTCTTCATGGCTGTTGTCACCTACTTACCACTATAGCAATGGGCAAGGAACACCGAGAGGATTCTGATAGCACTGGGGCAATTTATATGTTTCTTAATTTATGTGCTCTTTGGGATATTTGTGAAATAACAATTGATCTAATTTCAATGTAGGTAAATCAAGACCAACAGGCTTGAGTGAATGCCTGGCAGCAATAGAAACACATGTGAAACTCTTAGATTTACCTCAGAAAGATGATAAACGGTAAATCTGACTTGTAAGCAATTAAAGGTCTGGATAAAATCACATGTAAAATGCATTGCAATATCCTGATCCCATCAACATTTAAGGTATGACTATTCATGATTGCAAAATTTTTCTTTAAATTCAAAACCATGTGAACATGCCCTCGCCCAAATTACCGTTGGTAAAGGTTTAGACATTACCTTTGATTCAAATGCTATATTTGCGTCAGGTATAAGCTTTTACTGATATTTTTGTATCATCCGAATCGAAGATATTGGGGGTATCAGGGGTACATAAGTTTTGGCTCGTCTGTCTACAGTCCCTGAAACGTTCTACTTTCCCAACTGAACGGTGAACGAACGGTGAACGAACGCTGAACGAACGGTGAACGAACGCAGAGCGAACGGTGAGTGAACGATGTGCGAACGGTGAACGCAACTTGGTGAACGATGTGTGAACGGTGAACGGTGAGTGAACGCAGAACGCGAACGGGGCGCGAACGCGAGCGCAAAGTGAACGGTGAACGAACGGTGAACGCAAGATGAACAACTTATTCGGAAGGTCTTCGATCTTTTCCTTGTATTGAAATTATTCTTTTATTCTATAATTCAAATGTCAAAAATAAATATAAATACACAATAGATAAACAAAAGAGAAATAAATAGATAGATAAATAAGTAATTATAATAAATAAACAATAAAAATAAATTCTAGACATACGTATGTTTAAATCCATATTTTAATAAGATGATTTGAATCGCTGTCAAACGTGTATTTGTTACCGCGTGTAGTTAAAAAATAAATTAATCTTATATACTAGTAAATAATTATGCTTATTCTTTTAACTAATAATATAATGTGGACTTCAGAAGATAAAACTACTACTGAGATAAACAATAAATAAATAAATAAATAAAAACATTTTTTCTGCACATACATATGTTTAAATCGATATTTTAATGACATGATTTTAATCGCCGTCAAACGTGTATTTGTTACTGCGTGTACTTAAAAAATAAATTAATCTACTTATATAGTAAATAATTATGCTTATTCTTTTCACTAATAAGATAATGTGGACTTCTAAGATAAAACTACTACTTATAGAATTAATTAATTACATTGTACGGGGTTGAAACAACCGTACATGTATTTCCGCGCCAAAGCCATTCTGAGTAAAATAACGGATTTTTTTTAAAATCACAATTATCTGTTGACATTGACTGTTATCGTACTGCACAAAAATTCTCGTTTTATTTAAATTCTACTGCAAAATATTCTTTATGTGCCTTTTTATTCTTTTATGACGATTATTTTAGCTAACTTCATGTATCTGTAGACATTTCCCGGCCGTGATTATACTCGGTCAAGATGTTGGAAAGAGGCATTCAAATTATTTGTAATACATGTGTAGATTAAATGTTCAAAAGTAAATAAGTAATGTGTTGTCATAGTTTTATTGAACAGAGATATGTACGAGAGAGAGAGAGAGAGAGAGAGAGAGACAAAGAGAGAGAGCCCGACAGTAAGAGACAGAGATAACCCCCGCGATTCTCAGATATATGTTGTATCAAATAAAAAATTTAATTATTTTTCCTAAATATTCCAAGCAATAAAGGAAATCTTTTTTTAATAGATTAACAAATCCACTTGACAGTAATCATTGGCTTTTATTTTCCATCATCAAATTCACACAGTTCACAGGAAGTCCGTGCTACATTTGTAGTAGCGTGCTTGTGCTGTCAATCAAAATAATTCGACACAGTGGAGGTGTGGAAATCGCGTTTCACTGAACATGCCGAAGGCAAAAAGTCACTAGTATTCCAAGAAATTTTAATATTTTTCTCTATCATTTCTAGATCTGATTTTTGCAATCCTGCAGAAAAAAAAATAATTCTAACATATATTCAGAAGGATTAAGTTTTAAATTGAATTTGAAACATATTCCCTGCCAATTTAAAATACTACTGTCGGCACAAGTTTATACTAAAATACTATTCTTTAATGACTGTTTGATGTTGGTTTTAAGACTGATTTACTTGTGTTACAATAAAAATTAGATATTAATGAAAATATACTGAAAAAAAAACTCAATAAGAATTTTATTTCGGGAGAAAAGGCACCGGGGGGGGGGGGGGGGGGGGGGGGAGGGGAGGAGTCTTAATTATACTGAATAGCAAAAAAGCATATTTTTAAACATATGTTTAGGTACGGTGAATTTAGGAAGGATTTTTTCTTCTCTAATACTAGACTATTTTAAACTGTTGGTCTTTTCTAAAATTTAAAACCACACCATCAATTTAATTAGCTCTAAAGAAATTTAATTAACTGAATATTTGCAGTTCTGTTCATAATTCTCAAACCTACATGCAGTTTAAATATGTGTTACTGTAGAAGTAATTTTTCTATGTATTCTTGTCCTGTGTAAGACTTCGATTAATTATTATACATCCATTAATAATTTGTCCAATTTCAAATTACATCAAATTGATGCCGTGCGTGAAGCATTTGTACATTGCCCTTTTTTAATTTAATATTTTAGCATCGTTCTACATACATGTAGGTACTTAATGTATTAATTATTTTCCAGGGAAAATTCAGGAAATAAGTAACAGCTGAGTTATAATAATAGAAAAAATAAAAATCATAGATAATTTTTGCAATGAAATAATTATTCTTCAAGCACGATATCTAAGTTATTTAATTAAAAAAACAAGTAAATCCTTACCATCAAAAAGATAAGTCCTTTCACTTCGGAGTTCCGAATGACAATGAAGACTGAACGATAAGTGAACGGTGAACGCAAGGTGAACGCAAAGTAAACGGAACGAAGAGCGAACGGTAAACGTTTTGTGAACGGTGAACGCGAGCGCACGGTGAACGGTGAACGCAACACTGTGAACGAAGAGCGAACGGTGAACGCACGCTGAACGCACGGTGAACGAACGGTGAGCGAACGGAAAAATGGGAAAGTAGAACGTTTCAGGGACTGTAGATGTCTGCATGTCCTCAAAAACTTTATTGGTGCTCATTACTTTTGATGGGTTGAACTATTGCTTTCAAATTCTACAGATGTATTTCTTGTGACAAGACCTTTCCTAGGATACCACGAGATTTAACCTCTTGACCTTAACCTTGGAGTTTGACAAACTTTTACAAATATTATCACACTTTAACCTTGGTCAAACGTTTTGAACAGTTAGTGCTAGGGCTTTCATATATTTTACATGTGTATTCATTATGCTGAGACCTTTCAGTGGGTATAGATATTTTGATCTTGAGCTTAGATGTTGGTCCTTTCTTAAAAAACTTGAACCCTGGCAATAACTTTTCAACATTTATAAGTAAAGTTTTTCAGTATTATCCTTTTGAAAGACCTTCCTTTTGGTACTTATAAGTTTGCCCTGATGACCTTGACCTTTGAAATTTGCCATGCATTTATGAAAATTCAACCCTTGCCATACGGGAACATCAGTGTGCAATGAAGGTACATGACTTGCCGCATTATTTGTTTTTATTTCAGGTCCAGGATAGGATCAATTCTTTGGAACAGGGGGATGTAGTGCAATTCGTTGTGTGTATTCTGTTCCGATCCCCTATATATATATTCCCGTGCTGTAACCTTTTTGTGTATGTGTGCGTATGACGTCACGCTTTTGTGTGTAGATATTAGAAGAAGACGTCATTCTGTGTAAGAAACCACTGGTAACTTTGTGAACTTTTTCGACCTCATACATAATAACTTGCTGCTGTGTGCGCTCGTTATCTCTGTATATTTGTGTATTTGTTAACGGTATTGTTTATGTAATAAATGTCATTACAACATTGATGTACAATATTGCAGTGGGGGTCTGTGTTTGCTCTGCTCTTGTTTTGTATTGTTTTATGGACTTAGAGATTGAATACTGTTCGTTATCTCCATATCCTTCTTTCACAAACACATCTTGCTTTTAATTTTCAAAGCTGTGGCTGTTACAAGGCTTCAATAACTGAATAATTTGTCCAAATGGAACTCAGTACGGGGTCAAAACATATTTCTGGTCACAATACCCTTTTAATGCGCAAGTTTCTACATTATCTCCTTTGTTGCGCTCTTTCTTTGAGGAGGGGATTCTCGTTGCCGTGTAAACAGACAGGTGATACAAATATTTATATTTTGGATATACTGCATCATTGATATACTGGTTTATTATCACTTCATGATATTCAGGATGCACTGTACAACTCAAGAATGACCGAATTCATGTAAAGACATCATCTTTAAAATAAAGAATTCGTTACAAAAAAGAAAATATCTGTTCTCTTGGTTAAAAAGTATTTCCAAGACGATTATGATACTGGTCAAAGAGAATATTTACAATCAAATCTTGAAAAGGTAAACTTTTTTTAAACTTTGACAGATTACGAGTAATCTAAAAGAAAACCTTCAAATAGTGTAAATCAATTCTACAGAGCTTGAAAAATTGATTTGGTAGTTTAAAAGATTATGTCCAAACAATAAATAATAAATACAGCTAGACAGACAGACGAGTCTTATATATCCCAAGCTTTACTTAATGGAGATGAGATACTACAGATTGGCAAATAATCACGATGGTTTAAATTTCACTATGTTCGCGATTCGTCATTTTTCCGCGAAATTAAACCAACTGATTTTAGTTTTCATTCGTTTCAAAAAAATTTAGACGAATTAAAATGAAGTTCTTGCAGCGTGGTATTGCGATTGGTACTTTTGAAGAACTCGTGA